GGGAGAGAGGTGAGTGGAACGCGGTGTGATTTGTTGTTAGTAAGATTCTTCCCCCGTGCCCACGGGAAAATGGTCCCCCGTTGCCCCCTGTATTTTTGTTTTTTTTTTTTGGGGGGGGGGGGGATCTTGAATTTTTTTTAAGGCAAAAAAGGGGGAAGGTAAAATTTCTAAAGGCAAGAAGGGGGGATACCAATTTTTTTAGACGCCATTGAAAGATTAAGTGCCGGTATTTGTAACATTATTGATCAACCACTACCCAAGTGAAGTTCCATATATTCTAGTTCGATGAAGGATGTTTTTATGTTAATGCACTAAACTGCCATGTCCTTTACTTTGTGCATTAACTTCCAGCTCTATCCACTGATATACATGATCATTACCACCTTTACTTTTATCCTGCTTTTATTAAGAACTTCACGGATTGTTTTCACTATCATCATCGTCATTATCATCCTTATTATCACCATCATTTGTCATCAAAATTAACCCCGCAACTTTTCTCAATTTCAAAGCTTTTAAAGTTATGATTAAGACCTCAGGGTCTATCTTCGCAAAATTTAAATCAAGTTTCGCAGCTTAGAAGGAGTGTAAATGATCGGTAATATTTGGTTTGTTGGCTCTGCAGTTTAATACGCTCCCATCACGGAATGATATGCTTGACTACAGGTCGAGCACGGTTCTACAGTCAAAAGTGATCATATGCAAATTCCCACCAACTTGGCGGCAAATCTTTAGAAAGTTTCTTTGATTTATGTAAAGGATGGAATTTCTTAAGATAGAAATTTCTTACCATTGCGGTGTCGTTAAAGGATATCGAACGAGGACTACATTGTCGGTAGAAAGCTATCCTTCTATTAAGCCACAATTGGTGGCTGGTTGAGAATATGCTTATAGACTACACAGTTTTTAACAGTGCGGAACCTGACGCTTTCCGTGGAGTAGACAATTAAAGTGGAGCTGATCTCAAATTATATTTTTATTATGTAAAAACTCATTTTCGTAGTCCTGACCATTCCCTCCCCTGGTAAAAGGAAAATAAGCTTAAACCAAGATAAATTGACCTGATGCACAGCAAATTTTGTACTAATTTTTTTTATAAAGTGTTTCCCGTCTTTTCACTAAGAGAACAATATTTGCATACTCTTATATAATAATGCTGAGGAATTTTAATTTTGGGCGAGCAGTGTCTTCCATATTCTATCATTAGTTTATGATTGTTTGTCCTTAATTTTGCTGTTACTCAGTCGGAGGTTTGATCCATCTTTTTTATAAAGCTTAGATATGTAAAGAGAATTCTTATTGCCTTTCTCTGTTTCTTGAAAAGATAGTCAATGTATGGGATTGATGTGTTTTAGCTAAACCTCATGAAATGATATTTTTATGTAGTTTTATTAGTTGTTTTTCATCCCTTTTTGTTAAACTGAGAACAAATTTGATCTGGGGAAGAGATAAAGGAGGGAATCCCTGCATTTGCTAATTCTTTTTATGTAATGCGGAAGTAGACAGCTTTTATATAGACCATGCACTGTATGTGCTGAAAGCTGGTCTGATGTCCTAAATATGCCTTTGGAATTGCTTTTTGAAACCTTGTTGTGCAATAAAGAATTTAGAAACCTACAATTCTCGGTGGTTACTTTTGGTAAATTTTGTTGGGGGTGTGCCCCCAGAACGGACCAGAAGAAGTGTCTTTTTCCAACCGGCCGTTTTCAGACCTGGCCTTAAAATCCATCCCCGTTTTCAGACCAAGCAAACAAGGGTCACAAACGCGACTTACATGGGCAGGAATTAAATATATTTCATCATTACTTTGATCAGAACGCCCTCAAAAAGGTTTCTTCAACCCATTTCAAATTCCCCATATTACTCTTTCTTTCCCCTGCATTAGCGAGCAGCGACACTATAGTTTGATATCATGACTTTTATGGCAGATGCTGTGATACTTTACCTTTTTCACTTCGTACTCTTCATAGTATGGAAATATAACACTGGTTCTCACAAATCAATAGCATCTTCTTCATGGATCATATCAGCTAAATTTGTTTAAACTGACATCTCATTTAACTCAAGCCCAAGCCCGCTGTACTTCACTCATGTAAACCTGACGAATTACGTCGAATCCCGCTTTACGGACACTAGAAAGCGAGCGGCAAGCCTTCTTTCCTCAGAGCTTCGTGCGGCGAGCGAAAAAGTAAACTTCGCTCAAGATGCCATAAACCTAGAGCAGAGTGGAAATGTTGTGTAGCAAGAAAAAGAGAAATTTATTGGAACGACAGTCAAATACTAGTACAATGGAACAGCTTTGAGCTTAATTCGACTGTATAGACGCAAATTACCTTGAACAATGGTGAACTAAACTGTTCTACTGCATAAAGAATTTGCAATCCCAACTTTACATACATATGTACAATGTAGCATATTATTTTTTCGAGATAATGAAATTGTTTTTTTTCTGCAGTTGCGCACAGGCCAATTTGCTTAAATTTAGCTGTCTTATAAGAGAACAGACCCCTCTAAACTTCTTTATATAAACGTTTAGCTCCCCTCTAGACAATATGAAATAGCCTTGACCCCCCTTCTATGTTTCCCTCCCCCCACCCCCCTCTACATAAATAATGACCGGTCCCCAAGCTTACCTGTAAAATATTTGAGGCCAACGTGGTCGCACACAGCGTAAAACATGGTCAACATTCCAACGATTTACAGCTATATTTGCGGCTAAGTTTGTCCAAATATGCCACAGAACGAGGAATGAAACCTTTCCAAGGGTAGCACCTATAGAATGGTCCATTTTCGCGTAGTCTTGACCACGAATTGTAGCAATTTCCCCCATTTGTGGTTGATGATCATGGCTTCCATTGCACTGCATTGGTTTCTCGTTCCCAGAATCCCCGCGGCACTAGTTTTCCCGGGAAAAAATTAAACGGTTCTCAATACGTGCAAAGCGAGTGAAAGTGGTAAAGAAGATGGCGACCTCCTCACTGACTAAAACAATGAATAGACGTAGTAAGATGGCAAGTTCTATTAAGCATCTTGACCAGGTTGTCTTTTTGGACCGAAAGGCTTAAAAAAAGTGTGAAGTTAATGGCGACGATCTGGTACCAACTATTTTTTTTCCAATAAGATCTAATTCCATGTTGTGGGTTTAAAAAATTACGTACTTCCGTATGCGGAATCAGTTTGTCGTGGAATAAGGCCTCTTGTGTTAAACAGTGTAGCGAAATGAAATTATTTTTGCCTTAATTAAACAGGGTCAGGGTTTGAAGGTCCCGGCGGCAAATATAAAAACCTTTACTCAAGTTTCCCTTTGAGTTCCCTTTGAAGCCGGGGTATATCGGCACATTAATCAAATTCGATCAATACAAAAATAAACCCTTTAAAGTTTTCTTTATTCCTTTGCACCTAAAATCAACGGTGACGCACGGAGTCGTTCAACTACGGCACACGCTAAAATCTCTGTTTTAGGCCTATCTCTTGCTTTACAATTGCTTCAATAGCAACCACAAGCTTAGAATTCGGTTACAGGGCGTTTCTTTATCCACTCATTTATTTCGGGCACGTTTAACACCCGTTTATAATGCTCCACCAAGAGCGGGAACTTCTCAAGTTCTCCAGGAACATCCTCTTTACCCTTCGCATGGAGGTTGTTAAAGAAGTCAAAGAAAAGAGTCGTATATGGAGAGGCTTCACCCCAAGGCCCAACACCTCATTCTTCCATAAACTGTTTTTGACTGAGAATTACCCTTTTCAATTGATAAATGGTACCCCCGCATCTATTTCAAAACTGCTGTTGATGCACCATCTGTTTATATATGTAAATAAATTACTAAACCAAGAAGTTTTTTTTGTTTCACAGCCATGCATAAAATGCGTCTGTTAGACCTTAAGGTCCTTTTGAAGGCCAAAATGGCAGATTTGCCTAACCTTTCATGTACTTTAACTAGTAATGAAAGCCCTACCCTTTCATATACCTAAAAGCTGAAAAGGGACCCGCTTTGGGTGAACATTTAACTAATTATAACCTTGGATAGCCTGAAACTCATCCGATTGCTTCGAGCCGTTTTCTCCTCTCAACAATTGAGGAGTAATAACGACTCGAAGTAATCGGATGAAATTCAGGCTAAACCTTAGAGAGAATGAATACAATCTCGCTATTCCACAACCCCGTACTGAATTTTATAAAATAAGTCTTTCTTACAGCGGAAGTGTGTTATGGAACAGCTTGCCTCTGGAGTCTGGTGGTGCGGCAATTGACATCCCCTAATTCTGATTTAAGGGAAATTTAAGGGACCTAAATTTCGATTGTCAAATAATTTAATCAGCGATATGCTGTTTTTACACACGGCCTCCTTGAAAAGCAGGTGTTTTCTTTTCATCTTTATTATTTTAGTTTTTATCATAGATTCTAGATTAGTTAGGTAGTTAGTTTTCTATACCTGAATGTAAATGTACCTGAAGGAAATACTATGTATAAATAAAGTTACTATACCATACCACACCTCACTATATAGGCCATTATAAGGAGTTCTTCTTTCCTGGGTGCTAATATTTCAAATAGGGTAGGTCATGGCGCATAACACGCAAGCTAGCAACGAGGGAGTTAATCGGTTTTTATTCGCCTAGAAGCAAAATGTGGCGGAAATTTTGCGACCAGCCCGACCACGTCCTAAACTCCAATTTCTATTAAAATTTCCCTCATTTCCGAGACTCATCAGACTTTCACGGTTATTTGACCACACCTACCAAGACAACGAGAACGCTCTCTTTTTTCATCGTTCGTTGAGGGAAACGCGAAAATGACCACACGCTTGACGGACCCTTGTTTGTCGCGTTCGCGTTCGCGTTCGCGCGCGCGTGCGCTTACCTGACCAAAAGCCATATGAGCTTCGTCGAAGTCATGTAGCAGCTGTTCGGAAGAGAGTTCACAAAAGGTGAGTTTCCCTGGCCCCCAGACAATACTAAAATAATTGGCAGAATGACTTGTCATTGTTTCCTGCGACCAATTAGGAGAGGAGAGACCTTTTGAGCAACTCCTAGACTGGTCGCTTTGTCACGCGTTCCCTACGAACGCGCCCGCTTCGCGAGGAGGGAACGCGTTGAACGCCCGGGGGAGGGGTACTCCTTATTTCAAGTGACGAAGATGAACGAAGGATTTTTTGGCACTGAATTTTCGATTCCGGGAATTTTTGGGTAGGAAAATTTGACAAGTAGTTTTTGGCTTGATTCTAATAGGGATTATTTGGAATATTCAAAACTATCTGAATTTGTCATTCTGCGTTCATGTTACTGCTCAAACAGAAGATGTTCTTGGATGTCTCGGGTGCATGTTGCTAAAAATATTCAAATTCTAATATTTTTATTTTTCGTGTTATTATTTTCACCCTACCCTCGTTTTAGCAACGCCGTCATTCATATCCTCAGAACATACCTTTGACCCAGGCCTCAGAGAACAACTTTCTTTCGTAGCAGTCTTCGAAACGAAGAAAACGTAACTTTTATTCAGTGACGAAATAACAAAATCATTGATACCATTTGTGGTCGGAAGCAAACGAGTGTGTAGGCTGGTGAGCACACTTGTCAGCGGCCCGTGACTAAGCAATAATTTATTTTATTTCAGTACGATAGCATTCGCGCACACATAAAACCGATCGAAATTCAAGTGAATGTATGCGTACGGTACGCGTATTTGCCATCGGCTTTGATCGCATTCAGTTATAAACAGCCATTTAAGATCACAAAATTCTAAAAATACAATCGAAAAATAATTCATCATCGCGCACTTCACGGAACTTTTATATTTACTTACACGCTTTCTCTTTTGCCCATTCTTCGGCTGGTAATCGAATATCCTCGTAGTCAATCTTTGCAGCCGCAAATGCAAGTCGACATTTTTCTCCTCCACCGCGGACTGGAAAGTAGAACAACTTGTAGCCAGACATTTCTGCAGAATGTTTCAGTCAAACACAACTTTAACCCTCGCACCGCTGAAGTTCAATGAACTGCTAACTCATTATTTGCTCATGACCTTTTATATCACGGTACTGTATGTAAATTTCACCAAGTCGTGTCATGTCACGCAAGAGGCCACTCGAAGTTTTATATAGACTGTTAGCCTGTTCCGGGCGTTCAGATAGTGGGGAGCGGTGCGAAGTAAAAAGGAGCGCGATAAAATAAAAACGAGGGAGGGGGAGAAGTGAGAGAGGGAACGCCTGTAAGATTTGTTTTAAATAGACTCATCCGCTCACTCAGACGGCACAGGTCTCCCCAGTTCCCCCTCTACTTTTCATTTTTTTTTTTGGGGGGGGGGGGGATCTTGAATTTTTTTTAAGGCAAAAAAGGGGGAAGGTAAAATTTCTAAAGGCAAGAAGGGGGGATACCAATTTTTTTAGACGCCATTGAAAGATTAAGTGCCGGTATTTGTAACATTATTGATCAACCACTACCCAAGTGAAGTTCCATATATTCTAGTTCGATGAAGGATGTTTTTATGTTAATGCACTAAACTGCCATGTCCTTTACTTTGTGCATTAACTTCCAGCTCTATCCACTGATCTACATGATCATTACCACCTTTACTTTTATCCTGCTTTTATTAAGAACTTCACGGATTGTTTTCACTATCATTATCGTCATTATCATCCTTATTATCACCATCATTTGTCATCAAAATTAACCCCGCAACTTTTCTCAATTTCAAAGCTTTTAAAGTTATGATTAAGACCTCAGCGTCTATCTTCGCAAAATTTAAATCAAGTTTCGCAGCTTAGAAGGAGTGTAATGATCGGTAATATTTGGTTTGTTGGCTCTGCAGTTTAATACGCTCCCATCACGGAATGATATGCTTGACTACAGGTCGAGCACGGTTCTACAGTCAAAAGTGATCATATGCAAATTCCCACCAACTTGGCGGCAAATCTTTAGAAAGTTTCTTTGATTTATGTAAAGGATGGAATTTCTTAAGATAGAAATTTCTTACCATTGCGGTGTCGTTAAAGGATATCGAGCGAGGACTACATTGTCGGTAGAAAGCTATCCTTCTATTAAGCCACAATTGGTGGCTGGTTGAGAATATGCTTATAGACTACACAGTTTTTAACAGTGCGGAACCTGACGCTTTCCGTGGAGTAGACAATTAAAGTGGAGCTGATCTCAAATTATATTTTTATTATGTAAAAACTCATTTTCGTAGTCCTGACCATTCCCTCCCCTGGTAAAAGGAAAATAAGCTTAAACCAAGATAAATTGACCTGATGCACAGCAAATTTTGTACTAATTTTTTTTATAAAGTGTTTCCCGTCTTTTCACTAAGAGAACAATATTTGCATACTCTTATATAATAATGCTGAGGAATTTTAATTTTGGGCGAGCAGTGTCTTCCATATTCTATCATTAGTTTATGATTGTTTGTCCTTAATTTTGCTGTTACTCAGTCGGAGGTTTGATCCATCTTTTTTATAAAGCTTAGATATGTAAAGAGAATTCTTATTGCCTTTCTCTGTTTCTTGAAAAGATAGTCAATGTATGGGATTGATGTGTTTTAGCTAAACCTCATGAAATGATATTTTTATGTAGTTTTATTAGTTGTTTTTCATCCCTTTTTGTTAAACTGAGAACAAATTTGATCTGGGGAAGAGATAAAGGAGGGAATCCCTGCATTTGCTAATTCTTTTTATGTAATGCGGAAGTAGACAGCTTTTATATAGACCATGCACTGTATGTGCTGAAAGCTGGTCTGATGTCCTAAATATGCCTTTGGAATTGCTTTTTGAAACCTTGTTGTGCAATAAAGAATTTAGAAACCTACAATTCTCGGTGGTTACTTTTGGTAAATTTTGTTGGGGGTGTGCCCCCAGAACGGACCAGAAGAAGTGTCTTTTTCCAACCGGCCGTTTTCATACCTGGCCTCTAAAATCCATCCCCGTTTTCAGACCAATCAAACAAGGGTCACAAACACGACATAAATGGGCAGGAATTAAATTTATTTCATCATTACTTTGATCAGAACGCCCTCAAAAAGGTTTCTTCAACCCATTTCAAATTCCCCATATTACTCTTTCTTTCCCCTGCATTAGCGAGCAGCGACACTATAGTTTGATATCATGACTTTTATGGCAGATGCTGTGATACTTTACCTTTTTCACTTCGTCCTCTTCATAGTATGGAAATATAACACTGGTTCTCACAAATCAATAGCATCTTCTTCATGGATCATATCAGCTAAATTTGTTTAAACTGACATCTCATTTAACTCAAGCACAAGCCCGCTGTACTTCACTCATGTAAACCTGACGAATTACGTCGAATCCCGCTTTACGGACACTGAAAGCGAGCGGCAAGCCTTGTTTCCTCAGAGCTTCGTGCGGCGAGCGAAAAAGTAAACTTCGCTCAAGATGCCATAAACCTAGAGCAGAGTGGAAATGTTGTGTAGCAAGAAAAAGAGAAATTTATTGGAACGACAGTCAAATACTAGTACAATGGAACAGCTTTGAGCTTAATTCGACTGTATAGACGCAAATTACCTTGAACAATGGTGAACTAAACTGTTCTACTGCATAAAGAATTTGCAATCCCAACTTTACATACATATGTACAATGTAGCATATTATTTTTTCGAGATAATGAAATTGTTTTTTTTCCGCAGTTGCGCACAGGTCAATTTGCTTAAATTTAGCTGTCTTATAAGCGAACAGACCCCTCTAAACTTCTTTATATAAACGTTTAGCTCCCCTCTAGACAATATGAAATAGCCTTAACCCCCCTTCTATGTTTCCCTCCCCCCACCCCCCTCTACATAAATAATGACCGGTCCCCAAGCTTACCTGTAAAATATTTGAGGCCAACGTGGTCGCACACAGCGTAAGACATGGTCAACATTCCAACGATTTACAGCTATATTTGCGGCTAAGTTTGTCCAAATATGCCACAGAACGAGGAATGAAACCTTTCCAAGGGTAGCACCTATAAAATGGTCCATTTTCGCGTAGTCTTGACCACGAATTGTAGCAATTTCCCCCATTTGTGGTTGATGATCATGGCTTCCATTGCACTGCATTGGTTTCTCGTTCCCAGAATCCTCGCGGCACTAGTTTTCCCGGGAAAAAATTAAACGGTTCTCAATACGTGCAAAGCGAGTGAAAGTGGTAAAGAAGATGGCGACCTCCTCACTGACTAAAACAATGAATAGACGTAGTAAGATGGCAAGTTCTATTAAGCATCTTGACCAGGTTGTCTTTTTGGACCGAAAGGCTTAAAAAAAGTGTGAAGTTAATGGCGACGATCTGGTACCAACTATTTTTTTCCAATAAGATCTAATTCCATGTTGTGGGTTTAAAAAATTACGTACTTCCGTATGCGGAATCAGTTTGTCGTGGAATAAGGCCTCTTGTCTTAAACAGGGTAGCGAAATGAAATTATTTTTGCCTTAATTAAACAGGGTCAGGGTTTGAAGGTCTCGGCGGCAAATATAAAACCTTTACTCAAGTTTCCCTTTGAGTTCCCTTTGAAGCCGGGGTATATCGGCACATAAAACAAATTCGATCAATACAAAAATAAACCCTTTAAAGTTTTCTTTATTCCTTTGCACCTAAAATCAACGGTGACGCACGGAGTCGTTCAACTACGGCACACGCTAAAATCTCTGTTTTAGGCCTATCTCTTGCTTTACAATTGCTTCAATAGCAACCACAAGCTTAGAATTCGGTTACAGGGCGTTTCTTTATCCACTCATTTATTTCGGGCACGTTTAACACCCGTTTATAATGCTCCACCAAGAGCGGGAACTTCTCAAGTTCTCCAGGAACATCCTCTTTACCCTTCGCATGGAGGTTGTTAAAGAAGTCAAAGAAAAGAATGTCGGCATAGCTTAGCTGCAGATAAGAAACAGAAAGAAATCGGAGTTACTCTAGGGGCGTAGGACTGGGGTAACCTTTCTTCTGCAGGTGTAATAAGCCTCAGGCAATAGATGCAGTTTCACAAATCATGGTAAAAGGCATTTCCCACGTTAACAAAGCCGTGGTAAATTTAACGTGGGTTTAGTTTAGTTCCCATTAAGGAAATTAAAACGCTTTCAGTTTACGGCTTCATTCGCGCAATTACGGTAATAACCGCTGTCGACAATGGCAGTATTTTATGTCATGTTGAAAATTTACGTACAATTTTTTAGCTGAAATTTCAACTGGTATGTTATTCATGATAATTTAGCGAAGGTATATAGTTCGATTTTAGAGTTCAGCTGCATCCAACGGTTCGATACCAGGAATAAGGTAAAACATATTTTGGGGAAATATCGTTTCTAAATCTATCCCAACAAACCAGTTCAAAATTTTGCCCCCAAATTACCCTGTTTCTTTCATCTTAACGTGAAATCTGTCATGTCACCATCGATCTTTCTCTCCACAGTGCGAAAGAAACCCGTTTAAAAAAGCAATTTTGGGGGGTTTTATGTTGAAGAAATCTGATTGGCTGTTTTCCATTGGGTATCGAAAAACCCTTGCGTTTTACCAAGTTTAATGTCATAAGCGGTTTCTTTGCTATTTTTGACGTAACCATGGATATTTCCCATGGTAAATTTATGTCGGGAAAGTCTGGTCAAGCGCCCCGAGGCAATTTCCCACAGTAAAAGGGTCATTTACCACGGTAAATAAAAAGTGTCCCGTGTAAACGCACGTACTAGGGCCAGAAAAATAAGAGGAGTCTTACATAGGACGCAAACTATACCATTTATACGAGCAGGTCTTATCTAAGACGAAAACAGCTCGTATAAATATGGTTCGCGTCTTATTTCTGTTCTTGACTCGTTTTCGTGTGCATGTTGCCCGTAGCAACGGTAATCCAACATTTGTCCTCGAGATCTACTATTGCCCTCTCCTTGCATAACAACAAAAAATCCTTTTCTTCAGCGGCGGACCACGTGTTTCGTTTTGCCTTTGTCAGCGTGCTC